TTACTATAGATTGTACCCGGCCTTCGGAAGCTTGGATCACTGACTGAATTATGCATCTGCAAAAGTTGGGAAATCATTAAATAAGTCAAAAAGACAACCGTATATGACGTCAACATAATTACGAATGAAGAGTTGAGGGAGAGAGAGAAAAAAAAGTTTCACGTAAAGAAGATTGACGTGGAAAATATGCAAATGACCAATTAACAACATCAAAGCTATGCACAGCAGCAGCACTAGGAATGTCTAGTTGCTTCTTCATTTCCACAATGAGCTGAAGAGAAGGAAGACAGAGAAAAGTTTTCTCTTACATTCCTTTTTTCTTACTCAAAATGAAAACAAAAAAATGGCAATGAGGTCCGATGAAGTCCCCTGAGGGACAATTCATATCAGGAACAATACTTGAATGAGAATGATGTTTATTGTTTGGTTGTCTTCTTGTAAACAATCTATCATGTAAAATACAATGATCTGACTTTCCTTCAACTCATCCTAAGACCTTACAAGGTATAGTGTATAGCCATTCGAAGTTATCACACACACACACACACACATACATCCATAGACATAGGAACAACTATCAATACTAGAGAGAGTCGAACGAATGTTTAAAAAAAAAGAAGGAAAATGAGAATAAAATGACATCAAAAATGCATATTAGTCTCGTAACCTACGAGAAGCATCAAATTCATTTAGTAAAGTCATCCATTTCATAACATATTTCAAACCTTATAAGCTCACTTCTCCATCCTTCAACCCAGCATCTCTTCATCTCTCTCTCTCTCTCTCTCTCTCGTACTCCCTTTCTACCTCTCTTTGATACTTTATTTTATAAACAACAGGGAGAAGAGAAAGTGGAAGAAGAGATGTCTGAAGAACGGTAATTAGTGAAGAGAGAAGAAAAGGAAGTTGCATTCAAGAAAGAGAAATGCCAGATAAGGAAGTTGACAGAAACAAAATGTTTTAAATAAGCTCTTTGATCTTTCACCTCGCTCAGCATTGGCTAAAGGTGTTCATATGGACGATGTGAAGCAGTTTTTGAGCGATTGATTTGTAACAAGTGTGAATAATTTTGTATTCAAAAGCCTATTAGTTGCACTTGAAAGTCTCATTCTCTTTGAATCTCCCTCTCCCTCCTTCTCTCCCTCTCTCCCTCTCTCTCTTAGTCACATTCATTTGCTATATCTCTCTAGCTTTTGACGATGAAAAAAAATATTGAGCTCACAAATATTAATTTACGTTTCCATGAATTGTTTTGAAATAAAATAAAAAAAAGAGTTGTGGAAGATGAAGCAATATGAGAAGGATGGGTATGAGAGAAAGAGAGGGAGAGAGTTGGGATGAAATGGTGAGGAGAATATAGCTGGCTGCCTAGTAGATGAAGGGAGGAGCAGCAGCATCATCAGGAGGAGGAGCAGGCTGGAGCAGGAAGAAACACTTTTTTACCGATCAAACACAAAAAAAGAAAGAAAAAAACATGATATTTAATGAAAAAATAGAAGAGGCGGAGAGGAGGGGAGATGAAGCATCAGAAACCATTTTTGTTTTGTTTATTTGTATATCAATATGATACTGGCCTTATAAGGACATATAATGAGATGGATATGGAAACAGTCCTTCTTTGAGAATTATGGGACAGATTCTATCGAGTTATAAGGAATTCAATTTGAAAACGCAAGAATTCAATTAATTTTTGGAGAAAGAGAGAGGGAGGGTGTGAGAGAGAGAGGGAGGGAGAGAGAGAATGGAGCAAAAAAATGCTTATTATGGTATGTGAAAGACGATCAATACTCATTTATGCCAAAATGAGACGATATGGTAATTATTGATTTTGCGGCAAATTAGCTGTCCAAGTTTGGCATGTGCATGTTTGGTACCAGGAAAGATTTTGAAAGAGAATTGAGGAGGTGGTTGAGAAGGATGCAAATGGAAAGTTTACAGAAAACAATGGAAAAGGTAAATGGGAAGACGATCTTTAAGCTTAAAGTTTTTTAATCTTTGTTTTGACAGATAAACGATATATAAAAGATCCACCGCTTTTCTGCATTTAATTGGTTTTGAGAATGAATCTTTGAAGCATCATTAACTCTCTCTCTCTCTTTCTCTCTCTCTCTTTTCGTCCCTCTCTCTCTCTATCTCTCTCATAAACATTCTTTATAAGACGAATGCATAAAAGAACTTCACAACTTAGGTAATAGGATACTGCCAGAGAAAAGAAAAAACTATGAAAAGCAAGACAACATGGAGGAGAAGAAAGGAAGAATCACAAACTTCATCACCAACAACCTAGTTGTGATAGAAATTTGTGAAATGCACAAATTAAAATGATGTTTTTCATAATTTATTATGAAGCCTAAGAGGTTCACAGCTGCGGAAGCTAGGCCCGATCGATGCCGCGCCTGAGCCACAGACGGCATGAGGCGTGTACGACGACTTTGGCTGTGTGTGTGTTCCTTATATCCCTCCCAACATTCACAGACAATCATAAGATGTAATTATTGGAGTTTATATGTGATACAGAACAGGATATAACAAAGTAATTTGTCATATTTCAGTTGTACTTTGATCTTCAGAGCTACCGATAAAGGGAGCCGTCTAGCATTCCCTCATATTAATTTGGAGGATAGAGGAGTTGCTCGTCAATTTGTATTATTTATGAATGAATGCTTCCAATCTACTTAGTCTACTTCTTTTCTCCATTCGAAACAACTTGATAGCATCAATGTATGAAAATTGTCATAAAAACTCGTAAAACTACGTAGATAGAGCGAGACACACACACATAAATGAACTTCACAAGGAGGTTGAGCTTTGATAATCAAAGAACCAGAACCTTTCGCAAACAATTCTGAACAGCAAAAGTTCATTAAACAACTCATTCTGTTGAGAAAGTAAGGAATGAGGAAAGATTTCAATCCGAGATCCAAAGATTTGAAATCTAGAAGATATAAACATTTCGTCGTGCCAATTTAAAAATGCAACCGCTCGCTATGCATGAGAATGTAAAAATAAAAAACAAAGCTTTCAACAGTTTCCCGCCCACATCAATTTATGCAAATGTGACCTATTGAGTATATTTATTCTGTTTGACATGCTTCTCCTTCTTTAATAAGCAATTTCATATACGGCAAGGTGTAGTTGATATAGGATTGCACAATAGCATGCAACTTCAATACGTGTACTGTGGAGTCATCGTCACATTGCGTACAACTATGGTTTAGCCGAACGTTCTTCTTCTTTCAATTTGCTGATTATTAATAATCTAAATCATAAACACATTTTGTAGGGAAGTCACATGAACAGCTTTGAAGCATTTGAAGCTACTTTGGCTAAACTTGATGTGATTGAAGAAGCAGCACCTCAACGTGAGCTTATCCCTTTCGTATCCTTAACGTTTTTCAATTTCAGCGAACCGTTTAGACAAAACCATAGCTACTTTGCTTCCTCATCATCCAAAGAACGTTGAGAACTTTCCGAAAAGTTCATCGCCTGAGAAAACCTTTCGAAATGTCTTTCACAGGTAAGGTTTTGATTGAAACTGAGACTTCATGAGCGCTTGCAGGTTCCTTTTCACTTTGCTCGAAGCGGTTCAAAACACTCACAGTATCTTAGTTAGGCATGAATTATGTTCTGCTATTTATATTTTGGAGAATTCTATTCGTTTAATAGGTGAGTCCATTCCTTGGCTTCTTCCCACTCCATTGCTGTTTTCTCAGATTGTAAGAAAGTGTATTATCGTGTCCTTTTGGCCATCAATATTTTCAAAGATTCTCAGGGCTTCGTTCGGGAAGATCATGTGGAAATTTCAAAATCTTCTCTATTTCCCAATGAAGAAGCTTTTGATGTTTCGATTCTTCAACTCATTATGGATGGTAAACGTGTAGCTGAAGCTGAAATTGATTCTGTTGAAGTTTAGCCGTCGTACAAATCAAAGAAACCGTAGGACTCAAAAATTTACAAGACGCTTTGGCTCCAGCATGGAACGAAGTGTGTAATGAAGCGAACCCGGATATTCACGATATTGTGGTCGCCGGAGCGAATAGGAACCCACCTCATTAGTTTGTCTCGAAAAAGAACAACAGGAAACAACTCAGTTTTCCAGTTATGAACCTTCTCTCTCCGCCATGAGAGTGATTACAACCATTGCACATCAATTGGAGTGCTCACCGAATGATCTGATTAATTTGGAAGAGCAACGAATGTGAGATGGTGTTTTTTAAATTTTCTAACATGCCAATCTTGCAGGGAGACCCCAGTAGGAGGAGTCGAAGGTGTTGATAACATCAGACAGAACAAGAACGCTGTTGTGTTCGAGGACGATGTTGGTCCTGGACCATCAAGCATGAATGAAGTTGATCAGGTGAGCAATGATCTCTAATTGAATATGTAAGTTGTTCCAATTGTAGGCTCTTAATGCTGAAGAAATGAACTGCACGAAATTAGTCTTCACAATCAGACAAAGTTTTCCTGATTCGTTCCAAGAAGTGTCAAAATATTTGTTACAATTAATTGAATCCAACAAGTCAACAGAGCAACTCCAAGAAGAAGTCAGTCTTTCTATCAATTTTGTTTTTTCTCATTTTTCCCTCTTTCAGATAACAAATTTGCTAGGGTTTGATGCTATTGAGCTTGCAATTTCTATACTTGAGCATCGTGAATCTCTAAAGACGGAAATCAAGAAGAACCGTCAGAAGCCTGTTGACTCTCGCTTGCTGGGATCTGCATCTGATGAAGTATCTAACTTTGGTTTATTTATGTTATGCGGATCCCACATATTTTTAAAAACGCGCAATTGAGAGAAATGATCAAAACGCAAACTGAGAAATAGTCGTATCCTGCCATAGTGCATCGATCCTTACATATCAACAGTTCTGTGGTCTGAAAGTATATCTCGGTCATTCAAAACTTATGATTTCGAAACATTTCTCGCTTTGTTTATATCTTCCTCGCTGCATCCGATGCTTCGTCTGAAGTTCTACATAGAAAACAACATTTCCGTTTCTCAATATTCCCAACTTACTACAAGTCTATTCTTCCAACTTTTTTTTGTTAAGAAGTTGTAAGTTTTCTTGGTGTAATGCGAAGGTACCGGAGAGCAAGATGATTTCCGACCATCCCCTTCAAGATTTCTAGTAGTTCGCTACATGAAATCATATACCTGTCCATATACAAGCCATGGTGCTGTTCTTGATATCAACTTCTAACAAGAAACCGGTGAATGTGTCGTCTTCACAAAGGACATCTCGAGCATTAATCAGTTCTTGATTTCTCTGATTATTACTGGAATGATTTCCAATTACGATCATAAGAACATGTGTTTACCTCATGTAGACATGTATCTCTTGTGCTAGTGTTGTCATGTTACGAAGAACTTGGGCAGAGTCTCTATATGTGAACCATTCAGAATCTCTATAATTTGACTTTCAATTATTCTAAACATGTCTTTGCTTACGGCGTTTGAGTACAAAATTGGTTTTGTCCACAGTCTATGATGAAGGATGATGTTATGAGATGAAACAAAGATAGGAAAAATACCACCGGTTTCATTTTTTTTTCATTTCTAAATGTGTTTGTTCACGTGAACTAATAGCTTCACGTCAAAATGAGCCACGTATTTTTCACGTATTTCTCATTTTCAGTTGAACCCAGTGCGCAACAATGGACCGGTCTATTGTCAACAAGTTACTGTACAGTCTAGAAAAGAAGTAGCCATGCGTAAGGAAATGAAAAAAGAACAAAAAAGGATGAAAAAAGAAATGTCGAGGTACCTCTAAGATCATTTAGTGAGTTCAGAAATCATATCCATTTCAAGAATACAACATGCTTTTGGTGACGAAGAGAAGCTGGAAATTGAACTAGCTCAACGAGAGATGGAAAGAGAAAGGTACTCCAATTAATTTTTATGGTGTCACGAGTAGTGTTCAATCTTCAGACAACTTGAGATTGATAGATTGAAATGGACACCTACAATTCGAGGAGGACAAGTTAAAGAAACTTATCCATTCGTTTTTGATGCCAAGTTATATACTGGATACTCGGCTGGTGTCAACAAGGTTTTCTTTTCAAACTTACCTCAGCCTATGAAGTAAAGAGGAGGCATGAGCTGATTCCAATGCTTTCAGACTTTTCTGCCGGAAGGAGCTTTCCAAGAAAATTATAACACTCACGATTGTGTCACTGTACCAGCTGTGAAGAAGACCCCTCTAGGAATTGATCACGTTTTCATTAATCAGATGGACGAGGCACGTCTTTCACGCAATATGTAAAAATGGTTATGTTGTTCAGATTGGTCAAATGGGTTTCCGTGGTTTCGAAAAACTGAATATCATCCAATCCATAGTATTTGAACAAGCTTATAAAACAAAGGAGAATCTTTTAATTTGTGCCCCTACTGGAGCAGGTATCTTGAGTTCGAAATGTTTTCTGTTAATACGACTCTTTAGGTAAAACCAACATTGCTATGTTGACTATATTGAATGTTGTTCATCAGTATATAAAGCCGAATGGAGTTATAGCGAAGGACGATTTCAAGGTTTTTCAGTTAATATAACTGTGTAATTAGTGTTTTTGAAGATTGTTTACATCGCCCCCATGAAAGCTTTAGCTACTGAAATGACTGCCAGTTTCAGTCAACGTTTAGCTCCGCTAGGATTGACAGTCCGTGAATTGACTGGAGACACGCAGTTATCCAAGAAGGAATTGAGTGAAACTCAAGTATGAAACTACCATGCTGGCGTTGAACAGAGATACCATTCAGATGCTCGTAGTGACTCCTGAAAAATGGGATGTGGTAACTAGGAAGGGAACGGCTGACAATTCTCTATCAAGTCTCGTTAGGCTCTTAATCATTGACGAAGTACGCTATCATATACTTATCATATAACATTATTTTCATTTCTAGGTTCATTTACTGCAAGACGAGAGAGGTCCCGTTATTGAAACAATTGTATCGAGAACGTTGCGACAAGTTGAGATGTCTCAGTCTGGAATCAGAATATTAGGATTGTCTGCTACTTTACCTAACTATGTTGATGTTGCTAAGTTTCTACGTGTCAACCCACACAAGGGTTTATTCTTTTTCGATGAGAGGTTCAGACCCGTTCCTCTCAGTCAAAAGTAGCTAGTCCAACCTTTCGAATGATCAACAACGTTCCATGTTTAGATTTATTGGCGTGAAAAAAGGTATGCAAAGAGATGTGCAAGAAAACATGGATGAGCTTTGCTATGAAGAAGTGCTTCACCACGTCAAAGAAGGTAACCAAGTTTTGGTGAGTTCTAATTTGTATCAATGTTTATGGTTCTTTTTTCTCGACAGGTGTTTGTTCATGCTCGTAATGCTACTAGACGTGTAGCTCTGGACATAATTCAGAGGGCAGCCCGTTTGGTAAGAAGGAATTATATTTGTTTGTGAACATATTTATTCTAGGGAAAAAGGGATGTATTCTTACCTTCCACTATGAACACAGCCGAGTACGGAAAAACTACAAAATCAGTAAGATGTCTCAGATGTCAAATCCATATCCGTTTTTAAGCTTCAATCTCGGAACACGCAATTGTACGAGGTTGTACAACATGGTTTTGGAGTGCATCACGCTGGACTTCTCCGGAAAGATCGTCTTCTAATGGAGAAAATGTTTGCACATGGTCATTTAATGGTGTGTTCGTAATCTGAATCAGGCTCAAACTTTTCTCGATTCAGGTTCTTGTTTGTACTTCAACCTTAGCTTGGGGAGTCAATTTACCAGCTCATGCCGTTATCATCAGAGTATGTTTCGTGACTCTTTAAGTGCAACAAAAAACTTCAGGGGACGGATGTTTTTGATGCTGAGAAGGGTCAATTCAGCGACTTGGGAGTTCTAGATGTACAACAGATTTTTGGACGTGCTGGTAGACCTCAGTTCCAAACAGAAGGATATGGTAGTAAACCTCATGTGAATGATCTAATGTATTATTTTCTAGGTACAATCATTACTAACCATGCAAAGATGGGGATTTATTTATCTATGCTGACAAGGAAAGATCCCATTGAAAGTCAATTCCATAAAAGACTGCACGATAATCTGAATGCTGAAATCTCATTAGGTATTTCTACTTTTGTCCACAAGCTCATTGATGTTTCAGGTACTGTTTCAAATGTTGAGGAAGCTGTTGAATGGCTAACGTATTCTTATTATTATACAAGGATTAATATGAACCCTGTCGCATACGGACTATCATACAGAGATGTCGAAAACGTATGTTCTCTATGTTAGTTTAACTACTGAAAGATTTAGGATCCCGGTTTGTATGATCATTTGAGAAAGCTTGTTATCACAGTTGCCACAAAGCTGGACGACTTGCAGATGATCCGATACGACGGCTTGTTAGTAGCTCATTCTATGAATAACTTATATGATGCTTTAGAAATAGTTTTTTGAATGCTACCGATCTTGGTAGAATTGCTTCAGATTTCTATATCAAACATGAAACAATTGAGTTGTTACAAAAACCGGAGGGTTCTATTAAGTTCGGACAGTTCATGCCTGATGATATGATACTCGGAGTGATTTCGATTTCAAAAGAATTCAGTCAAATCAAGGTGAACAAGAAGTATAGGTGCAGTCATATGTTTGTTTTCAGGTTCGAGATGATGAGTACACTGATTTAGAAGAGCTGACGAACTTCGCCTGCATGTTACCAGTTCGTTCTGGAGGCCTTGCTAGTACAGCTGGAAAAGTTAACGTCCTTCTACAGGTATAATGAAGAACAAAGTATTTCTGGAAGCTACTTATTAAGGCTCTCATTTCGAACTACTCGGTCAGAAGTTTCTCATTGGCATCGGAGTGTAACTACATTTCTCAGAATGCTGGTCGATTATGCAGGTAAAACCATACCCTACAGGTCTGAGAAGTATGTAAGCTGTTAAGAGCTATATTTGAAATTACTTTGCGGAGAGGATGGGCTCAAGCCACGAATGCTTGTCTAACCCTAGCTAAATGTATAGAAAAAAAAGTGTGGAGACACCAAACATGCTTGAGGTACGATATGTCAATGATGATTTCATCATTCATAACTTTTCAGACAGCTGAGTTCGTTCGTGCAGTATGCATGGATCGAGAAGATCGAACGTAAGGGCTTGAGCGAAGATCAGTTGCTTGATCTGACTCCGAAAGAACTTGGTGAGCTGGATATTCTTTATCGTTACACCAACAATAAAATTAACAGAAACTATGTTCCGATGTGATGGAGAGAAAGTATATCTCGCACTCCACTCGTTGCCGAGAGTAGAAGTGGAAGCTACCATAAAGCCTATCACTTAGTAATATCCGAATCGCATTCTTAGTATAGTTATTCGTTTAGTACCATAATTCAAGTTGACGCATGGCTATATCCATCTTTCAAATGGAATGACCAAGTTTATGGAAAGACAGGAGTACAGTCATTTTATCTTCTTCTTGAGAACATCAATGAGAACCTCATAGTTCATCATGAAAAAGTCTTGTTGAACAAGAAGAAGGTTTTTTGGCTTCTTTTTCTTGCTTCTAACACTTCTTTTGTAGGTTTTGTCCGGCGAACCGATTCATATTGTTTTCACGATACCTGTCAAAGATCATGATCTAACAAACGTGTACCAACTCAGGATTTGCAGTGAATATTACTTGGTAGACGACACTGTTGTTCCTTTATCCATGCACAATTGCATTCTCCCAAAATCCATCAAGTCTCATACAGGTGTGTTCCTGCTGAAGTGCTACAGAGTACTCATTCTACAGATTTACTTGATTTGGATCCTCTGCCTATTTCAACGCTTAAGAATACTTTGTTCCAGTCCATATACAACTATTCGTTCTTCAACCCTATCCAGACACAGGTATACTGTTTTCTCTTATATTGTTGAAACCAAGGTTCACTACAGGTTTTCCATTGTTTGTATAAAACTGATGAGTCCTCGCTTATTGGAGCTCCAACTGGATCGGGTAAAACATGCTGTGCTGAGTTGGCAATCTTTAGGCTGCTTCAAAATCACCCTGGAAAGAAGGTTTGCATATTTCTCTTCAGCTCAAGTTTCAATAGTATTTTTAGTTCGTTCACATCGCTCCTCTCAAAACGTTGGTCAGAAAACGTGTCCTAGATTGGA